TCTCGGGTTGAATCTCCCAAATTTCCTTAATTCCAAGACCATATGTCTGGGGCTGGCTGTCTCGTCGAAGATCGTATTTCTTGGTCACCTGCTTGGTTAAGCTACCGTGGCAGCCCTCGGCAAGAAGTGTGACGCGGGCATGGAACTCCATTCCTCTCTCAAATGTCTCCTTGGGCTTTCCATCCCGAGCGAGTCCTAGGTCGTTGGTCGCAACGCCCTTGACTGAGCCGTCTGGGCTATAGACCATCTCGCTGGCCGCGAACCCAGGGTACACCTCCACACCAACCTCTTCCGCACGCTCTCCCAACCACTTGGTCAGCTCGTTCAGACTGACAATATAATTCCCCTCATTATGCATCTGTGGCGGCATGGGGAGCGGGTAAGAGCCGTTTTTCGTCAGGAAACGCATCTTCTCGCCCTTGGCGGGGGTCGCACCCTCAAAGCGCGAGGGGTTGTCCTCGGACAGCCAGTCGGGGAGGAGCTCATCGAGGGCGGTTGGTTGCAAAACGTTTCCGGAGACAATATGGGCGCCCAATTCACCAGCCTTCTCTAGTAGGATAACCCGGAACTCTTCGTTGCCTGCCTCGTTGGCAAGTTGCTTCAAGCGAATCGCGGCGGCGAGACCGGCGGGACCTGTAGTAAATTAATGCTTAGCTACGCTACTTCGGGGGAGAACCGATGCGGCACAAAGCACGTACCACCACCAACAATGCACACATCCACGTCGTCGGACTCGCGCTCCAATGTGCGAGGATCGAAGTCGCCATTTTCGTCGGTGAAGCGCTTTGATAACGATTGCGAAAAGGCTCGTGTCTGGGTTGGCGCGGTGAATAATGCCGTTTGCCGAGCTAGGCGTCGCCCGGAAGTTGTGAAGGGACTGGCTGAGTGGCGGGTGGCAATGGCGGAGACGGAGGGGGTAGCTCGTGAGAATCGGGAGGATCGAATCTCGCGCCTCAATAGAGGCAGAACAGCACCTTTAGATGCCATCGCGGTATGTGAAATTGTTTGGAGATCGGAGGCTGAGACCAGGATTACTAGTAGCGACCAGCGATTGGCATAACCAGATCGAAAGGGTGAATGCGCAGACTTAGGATATTTAGGTCGTAGATCCCGAATGTCCCCAGAGTCATCGAGTACCCGAATTTTGAGTGGAAGTGACAAAACGCCGAAAAACCGCCTACCCTCGGCTCAGCTCTCTTAACCAATGGGCAGCTCGGCGATTATCCAACTGTGGAGGCCTGAGGCAACTATGGATGGATGGATCCCCCGAAGCGGAAATCGCCTCAAGCCGTCGGGGTCCCATCACCCGACAGCTTGACTGAACTTTTAATAATGGGCATATTTTCTTAGCGTACTCCGTATACTCCGTAGGTATTTCAAGATCTATATGGAGCATGCAATAGAGTACCGCCTCAATTCTCGTCACATCCAGGCACCTCATGTTTAATACGATATAGATACGAAGTACTCTGTACTGATCACATGCATCACATGCTTTAGCGCCTCCCTTGTGATAATGAAATATTTCGATGTTGACACCATTCAGCTCTAGACTTATCGTGTTGACCTTGCATATCTATATGCCAGAAAAACAACCTTAAATAGTCGAGTCATACTAACTGTTTCAAGGGTGTCAAACACCGATCTGGCCGGATCAGAATGCAGTTTCCCGTGTTCCGTATTCCGTATTTTATTACTACATTTCCGGGAATGTGACGACTGTGCCGCTTCGGGTATGGTATTCAGCATACTATACTCCGTACCATACCAGCATACCGGAATTCTCTAGAAAATGCCAACAAAAATACCATGATGTGACCTGAGATGGTATTAGGGATAAGGGTATCAAGAACAGTTGGTAGATCTTAATAATAGATCCGAAGAAGCTCAAAAAAATGACCGATCATTGCCAAAATTGCATGTTATGAGATTCATCCAGCCTTGGCGGACGGTGGATCAACCCTGGACGCCACCGCCTGTTAAGGCAGAATCAAAACGACCACCTGTCCTAATCAAAATCTCTGGGGAGAGTCGGTTTGAAATGCCCCCAAAAATATAGTCGGATGAACTATAAGCTGTGAGCCATTTTTATTACTACCATCAGTTAGTTTGTCAATAATGTCCGATATATTATGGTGGTGATAGTGATTTCCCGGTGCGGTGAGGTCAGAGAGGGTAGGGGAAGAAACAAGGCAAAAAAATCAGAATTTTTGTTCAGTTGCCATCTGTTAAAGCGGCAAGAGGATAGCGCGTCGTACATGGAGAGACCGAGGGTAGTCGATGACGATGATTGGATTGACATGGGACGGATGGACTATCAGCTGCAGGAGGAGCGCGGACTGGCAAACCCAGCGCCTGCAACCATGGCCCGCGGAGGATAAAGCAAGGGTATTTGAACCAGTCAGGGGGTAATATAGAGAGATTAGCGGAGTGCGTTGGGCGAATGAAAGTGACTAGAGAAGTTGTGTGGCTGTGATTGGCTTGCGACGTGGTTTCCCAGAGCCGCTAGCGGGCAATGAAGCCAAGGTTGAAGGGAGAAAAGTCTTGCTGCTTTTAGCGCCACCAGCGGCCCAGCCTCCCCTGACCGGGCTGTGACTCAGCACTATATAAAGACCCAACCTCCCCCCATTTTACCTTGGGAATTTTGTCTCGGTCTTGGCGGATCTTATTTCGGAAATTCTTCTTCCCTCCGCTCTCCAAAAAAAAGCCTCTTGATTATCAAATCTTGATATCTGCCGGCTTTCTCTTACTAATCAGATCTACCTCACAAAGATCTTTGATTTATCTCTGGAAGAACCTTGATTCTATTTTCTTTAGGGGAAAAAGGTTTTTTTTGTCCACGGACCTAATCACCATAGAAGTCGAGCCTCAGGTTTCGCTTCACCACTCTCTCTTTTTTTTCAGATCGCGCAGATAGACAATCCCATTTCCAGAAACAGCGCAAAAGAAACATTTCGAAAGAAACAAAAAAAAAATTGCCGTCCTTCCGTCCATAATATCGCCGTCGCGCTTATCTTGAAAAAACACTTCAGTGTGATTTTTTCTTGATTCGTTCATCTATTGACTGCGTTGGGTTTCGTTGCCTACACTATCTCGTGATTGCCTGTCATTCCGAGAGGTTACGTGCGAACACCTCGTAGGGGGATACATTGAGTTGTCCATCTCCCAGGTAAGAACCTCCTTCCTCTTTTGTCGGTTGCTGGGTTGCACTTTCCTTTCCTTCGTCGTTCCTTCCCTTTGGAGGCTCTTTCCATATTGATGGCTTCTGCCTGCTCCCCCCTGTCCACCGCGCCTCTTGCACGCGTCCTTCTCATCTCTCGCGACTTTTCGCGATCCAAGCTCATCTCTCTCCTTGATAGTTCCATCTTTATTTCTTGTCACAACTCGAGTATTCCATCAAAATGGATTCTCTGACAACCCATCCTTCCAATGCGCAGCAGGCTCGTGCCTTTACTGCTACCTCGTCGCTGTCTTTCCCTGGTGGCGCTGGGGATCTGACCCCTCCCAACTCCGAGAAGGAGGCCATGGCACAGAGCGGAAACGGTATGAATGGCCAGCAGGTCGGAGGAAATGCCATGAATGGCACCGGGGTGACTCCCGCTTCTCCTGCAACCCCCGCCGCAACCCCTGGCGCGACCACCGGAAGCAGTGGCATTGTCCCAACCTTGCAGTGAGTATACTCTGGATGTTTTTCTGGGTGACCAGAATGGCTGAACTAGTTATTCCAAAAGGAACATCGTTGCTACTGTCAACCTTGACTGTCGCCTTGATCTCAAGACCATCGCACTGCACGCACGCAACGCCGAATACAACCCAAAGGTATTTATTAACCACCCCTCACATTGTCCTGATAGGACGCACCTCAAGGCACAATGTGGCTGAACTCGGTTCTTTCCTTAGCGTTTTGCTGCCGTGATTATGCGTATCCGTGAACCTAAGACTACAGCTCTCATCTTCGCCTCCGGCAAGATGGTCGTTACTGGTGCCAAGTCCGAGGATGATTCCAAGCTGGCTTCGCGCAAGTATGCGCGTATTATTCAGAAGCTTGGTTTCAACGCCAAGTTTACCGATTTCAAAATCCAGAATATTGTCGGCTCTTGCGACATCAAGTTCCCCATCCGTCTGGAGGGGTTGGCCTCTCGTCACCACAATTTCAGTTCCTACGAGCCTGAGTTGTTCCCTGGTTTGATCTACCGCATGATGAAGCCCAAGATCGTTCTCTTAATCTTCGTCAGTGGCAAGATTGTCCTGACTGGTGCTAAAGTCCGCGAGGAGATCTACCAGGCTTTCGAGCTGATCTACCCTGTACTTTCTGGTATGCTGTCTTGCTGCATTCGTTGCCATCGCGCTTTCACTAACTGATACTTCCAGATTTCCGCAAGGTCTAAGAAAGCTCAAAAGGAGATCACTATGCATTTCAAACCTGTATTAACATTGCTTTTTCTCTTTACGAGGACAGTCGCCTTCGGTCTGTATCTCGCTTTTCCTTCGGTTCTTACGACTCTTTTCATGCAAGCATAGTTGGGCGTTTTTAGCGATTCGGATGATCCCCGGTTTTCCTCACACTTTCGCGTTCTTCCACACAATTAGATTGCTGCACACCGCAGTGAGGCGGTTGTGCGCCGGTCGATGACTGCCTCGATTTAATCATTTATCGTTCAATGGTTTCATCTGTGGAGGATTGCTTCTATCCCCACGGGCCAAAAAAAAATTAATGGTGACCTAAGGCAGTCTGCTAGATTCACTTCCGTCCTTGCTTTCCCCATCTGGGGCTTGATGGACCGGCTTTTTGCCGTGATACTACCTTTGAGTAGTCAATGAAAATCTCTTGAGAGAAAAAAACTACTACTTTCTTTTGTACTTTGAGTAGATCAATGTAGCTTGTAGCTCGTGTAGCTCCTTTAAGTCTCGGCCTTTGCTCGCACTTGGTCTGTAGTATAATTGCCTTTCTATGTCCAATCTTCATATTTATATACACCACAGTTACCAAGGGGCACATCCTAAAGCACACTGCTCCGCGAAGCCTTCTGTGCCTTCGCCAACTCGTCTTTCAAAATCGCTCTCCTCTCCCCAGACCGACTACCATCGCCATCAAAGTCCTCTTCGTCCGACACAGCAGCCTCAGGCCATGCCCACATCTTACTCAACTCGGAATCAAGAGTGCCCTCTAGCGCATCAACAATCTTGTCTCCAATGACAGGGAAGAATTTGAACCCATGCCCACTACCACCGGTAGCAAGGAAAAGACCTTCGTGCTCAGGGTGATAAGAAACAATGAAATCACCCGTGGGCCTGTTAAACAGATTAGTACCAACCACAACCACCCAACTCGCAGCTGGAAGGGGACCAAACTCACGTATCAGTATACCAGCAAACCCTCGTATCGAAAAACTCCCTCTCCGCGAACCGCGGCAAAAGCTGCCTCAACGCAACCCGGAACGCCTCCTGTCCTTCAAGCGGTACAGGAACCCCCTGCTCAGGTAGACTAACCACCATCGAGCCCGAAGCCCCGGCATCAGGAACCGGCACCTCAACCGGATTGAGATACCCATACGCATGCCGGGCAATCTTAAGCAGATTATCCCTGGGTGGGATAATAAAGATGCCCGTGGCAAAGTTCAAGATTGTAGGCAAATTCTCCAGCTCTCGCTGCTCCTCATCAGAGATCCGCATATACGCAATCGCCTGTCCAGTTGCAACAGCCCTCCCACGCAAGTCAACAAGTTTCGACGTCCACGCTCCAGTCGCCAGCACAATGAGATCCGCCTCGAGAGTCGAACCATCCGCCAAGACGACACCGGTAGCTTTAGGCTTCGCGCCGTTCGTGTCATATAACACACGTTCGACATCACCAGTACGGAAGGTAACCTTACCCTCAGCGTCGAGGAGTGTCTTAGCATACTGCACGCTGCCCGCAGCATCAGACCATCCAGAGCCCCAGTTCACGTAGCCGCCAGCGACATCGAGGGTCGAACCGTAGGCCGGAACGACGCTGAGGACGTCCGCTTGGGTCGGCAGGAAGGTGACGTTGTCGCCCTCGATCTGGCGCACATTGGCGTAGCTCTTGCGTGCGTACTCCTTGGCACTGGCGCTGTCTGCTGGGTACACGAGTAGCAGGCCGTTCTGCGTGTAGCGGCCATCACGGCCCCAGTCTGTGCTGCGCCAGCGGTCAATGGCCGCTGCCGCGAGCTTGGAGTATGCTGCGTTGGCGTAGTCGGCCCGCACAATCCGGGATGTGTCCACAGATGAGCCATGTGGGTTTGGGATTGTTGGTGAGGACTCTACTACTGTTACTTTGGATTCTGGGTGTCGCTTTGACAGGGAGAGGGCGGTGGATACTGGGGAATGTTAGTAGGTGGAAGTGTAATGTGTAGCGTAACACGCGGTGTAGACAGAGGGTTTCCAGGATTGTTCTAAACACTCACATCCAAACACCCCCCCTCCTACAATCAGAATCTTGGACGGCAATGCCATTTGTGAAAATATGTGTGTGTGGGTGAACACCAGAATTGGAGATTCGGGGGATCTCTCCAATTGATAACAGTTGAGCCGATAACGGCACTGTTCGTCGGCTTCTGTTCCCGACTTTTCTTCTTCGCTGGGGTCGATACCATTACTCCGATCTATACAAATTGGAAAGTGCAACCGATCACAGGACTTCTTTTTGATCAGTTTGATTTTCCCTTTCTTGGAGCTTCCGTCTCTTTTTTTGGTATCGCGGGGGGCTGACAACCCTGTCGCGTAAGCACTCAAATCTTCGCTCGCGTCAAACCATATATGCACAACCGGCTTGCACAGCAAGCCCTGCACAAAACCCTTGGCAGTCCATTCTGCTAGTTTAAAACATCATAATGAACGTAAATCAATTGCGCAGAGTGCCATTGGTTGCAAAGTGGCCCGCCACACCCTGCCGCAGCGCATCAAGCAAAACCCCTCGACCCCCAAAGCCGAGGTATGTAACCAAAACTCTTCAATCCAAACCCCAAACTAACAATCCCCCAGTTCACAAAGTTCCAAACCAGTGGCTATAAAACGGCGACAAGTAACTCCGCCTCGCCAACCTTACCAAGAGCGCCCAAACCCACAGGGCGCTCAATCTGAAGGCCCCAACGCTAAACCCACAGCAAAACCAGGCCATGGCATCCCACCCAGAGCCCTAACCTTCCTGGGAGTCACAGCACTCACCATCAGCACGTACTGCGGCTACCTGTACGCGTCGTACGCGCACGAAGTAAGCAAAGCTCAAACTCTCAACGTGCCACGCGATGTCTCAGACCGCTACAACACGACAGCGGCAACCTTCGATGCGGACGTCGAGCTCTCCGAAAAGGCAATGGGCCTCGGCAAGAAGCGACGTGATCTAGTGCTCCAAGCGCGCGGGAATGTGCTCGAAGTCAGCTGTGGCACGGGACGCAATCTGCCGTTCTACGAGCTCGGCGAGCGTCGCGGGTTAGATGCCGATGGCCACGCTGCGGTTTTGGGCTGTCGATCGGTTACCTTTATTGACCTTAGTCCGCAGATGGTGGCTATTACGAAGGAAAAGTTCGAGAAATTGTATCCTGAGTTCCCGGCGGTGTTCCGGGCTTGTGATGCGGGTAAGGTTGAGCCGGCGTCTGATATTGGGCGCTCTGGGGTGAAGACGAATGGGGAGCCGGTTTACTTTGATACCATTGTGCAGACTATGGGTCTTTGCTCGATGCCGGATCCGGTTGCTACGCTGAGACATCTGGGGTCTGTTACAGAGCCTGGGAGTGGGCGGATCTTGTTGCTTGAGCATGGGCGTTCTTATTATGATTGGCTTAATCGGATTTTGGATAATCTTGCTCCGGCTCATGCGGATCGCCATGGTTGTTGGTGGAATCGTGATATCGGGGATATTGTGCGTGAGAGTGGGTTGGAGATTGTGGAGGAGAAGCGGTGGCATCTGGGGACTACGTGGCGTTATGTGTTGAGGCCGAAGCAGGGTGCTGAGAAGGCTCAGTCTTGATCTTGTGGCTTTGGCTGGAGCCTCTTTTGGATGTACCATAATTTGGAGATTTGTATTATTATTTGGGGTGATAGAAATGGGATTCAGGGATAGAATATACTCATTTTGTTTAACTGCATATCAAAAAATGATATATCCAAGCGATTAGCGTGATGCTATCTCAGAAACCAGCCTATACGTCCACATTCGTACTTTCGTCGTGCCTTTTTAGTAACGATACCTGAAGCCTGGTGTCTTCCAGTCCGTAACATCCTCATAGTCATCCGATACCAACTGTACTCGGTTCACCATATCCGCCACATTCTTCGAATCGGGATCATCCTCCAATCCCTTTCCACCAACTGCACCCGCGTTTCCAGCACTGCCCTCGAAGCCCTCTAGACGCGTACGGCGAGCGTTAGTCCACTGCAAGTAGAAGCGCAGAACCAACGCCAAAACGACAGACATGGCGTAGCAAATCATGATGGTGCGGAAAGCAGTGTTATAATTGGGCGCCTCCTTACTGAGGAAGAACTGAGGCCCAGAAATGTTTCCAGCACAGTAAGCCAGGAAGAGCATGGCAGTGACTGTCATTTTCTTAGTGACTCCACGGTAATTGGCCTGCACCAACGACATAGCAAGCGGCATTGCTGCGGGGCCACTCGACAAGAGGAAATATCCGAAGAATTGCACTCCTAAGACGATGTGCGCGCGGGAGTAGATGATCGCACTGCCAATGACGGGAGGGATCACAACGGCCACGATAAGCAAGCAGTTCAGTTGGCGGAAACGACCGGCCAGCCAGCCCGTTCCGGTGATTGCAGCCACGGTGATGAGGGAGTAAGGGATGGTGAGCAGTGTTGATTGCAGGCTCGTGAAACCGAATGAGACAATCACCAGATTGGCAAAGTTCTGCGTTCCTCCGTTAGGGATCTGAGTACAAAGCTCCAGTCCGAATATAAGCCACGTCTTGGGATCCATCAGGCATTCAACGAACTGGTCCCATTTCCAAGCGGTTTCCTCCGTTGTGCCTGTGCCTGCAACGACAACTCTGTTGCTTGCGAACTGGCGTTCCTCTTCTGTGAGGAAGTTGGCCGTGGAAATTGAGTCTGGTAGTAGAATCCAGATAGCGAATCCCCAAAGGAATGTCGCGCAGCCAAGGACGATGAACATCCACCTCCACGGTCCAACGTGGTCTTTGACATGACCCAGGCCGTAGGCGAGAAGACTAGAAATAATACCACCGACACTCTGTGTAAAGATGAGCTTTTATCCAAAATATTGACAGGAGATAACGCACGTTTCCAGCAAACCACAGGCCAGTCCTGGTAGGAATCTCATCACGCGTGTACCACGTCGATGTGATAAACATAAACGCTGGCGTGATCGTTGCTTCAGCAACTCCAAGCAAGAAACGAACTGTAATGAGGCCGCCAAAGTTGGTGCATGCCGCAGTGAGAGCCACTACAGCGCCCCAGAATAGCGTGTTGGCCGTCATGTACTTGGCGGCGGGCAGCCGAGCAATAAGCAAAGTTGTTGGATATACCCATCCCAGGTAGCCAAAGTAGAAGATCGATGAGACCCAGCTGTACTGCTGGCCAACCAAACCCTAGAAATGATCTTAGTTGTGGTTCTTATTTCTCTCGACATGTTCATGTTCTTACAGTATCATGCCTCATCCCGAAGACAGACGCGCTCGACAGGATGGTTTTATCCATGAAATTAAACATATAAGTCGTGAAAAGCAGTGGGATCAGCCGTCTGTCGATCTTCCTCAACACTCTTTTCGCCATAGCATGGTTCGTCCCCTGTTCTCCCGCATCGGGAGTAGTTGCGTCCATGGCCATCTCTAGTGAAAAAGAAAATGTTGAGGATCTCATTCAAGATACTTTGAACCCTTCTTATATGGTCATATGCACCCTGTTATCTTTCCCCGCACCTCCCATTGGCCTAATCCCTGCACGTTATCGCCGATTCGGGAATCTTTCGAGCGCCGATTGGACGGGAATGAAGCCAAGTCTTTTAGGGCTAGAGCTAGGGATACCGTCGGAGTAAGTATGGGGCGGTGTCTCAGAGCCTTCTATTGTACTCCGAACGTACTCCAACTTTGATTTTTGATATTTTAGGCAGGTTCTACCTACGGACTGAGACTAAACTCGTATTTCATTTTGCCAAGTGGTAAAGACTCAATCGGGCAGTAATCATGAACGGCCTTACAATCACCCCGTTTATCGCCAATCTCCCCAAGGTCGAACTCCATGTTCATATTGAAGGGACCCTAACACCCTCTCTCCGCTGGGAACTGGCCCACCGCAACAACATTGCCCTCCCCTACGCCACCTTCTCAGAACTGCAAGCCTCCTATGCAGTGACTCTCAACCACCGCCCCGAGCTAAATGGCCGCCAACCAGGCATCCCAACCTTCCTAGAAGCCTATTTTGCCGGGTGCGAAGTTCTACGCACAGAAACCGACTTCTACGATCTAGCCATGGCCTATCTGCGCCGGTGCGCAGCCATGAATGTGCGCTACACTGAACCCTTCTTCGACATCCAGGCGCACACGCGTCGCGGTATCCCCGCGGCAGCCGTCATGGACGGGTATCTGCGCGCGCAACATGACGCCGCAGCCCAGCTCGGTGTGCATTCGCGGTGGATTCTGTGCTTCTTGCGCGACGAGCCTGTCGAGCAGGGTCTGGATGCTTACCGTGAGGCGAGACCATGGGCCGCTGGGACTGTTGAGGGTGGGAAGGGGCTGTTCCATGCTGTTGGACTAGCTAGTAATGCATACGAGAGACCGCCAATGCTTTTTGAGGAGGGATTTGCCTTGGCGCGCGCGGATGGCCTGCATGTTACTATGCACTGTGACTTCGGGCAGAAGGATACGCGGGAGCATGTGACTGAGGCTATCTTTGAGGTTTGTGGGGGCAAGGGAGCGGAGAGGATTGATCATGGGTTGGATGCGGAAGATTCTGAGGAATTGTGGCGTGGGTTGGTGGATAGGGGGATTGGGTTGACTCTGTGTCCGCATGCTTATCATCGGAGGACGCCGACGGAGGTTTTGTTTCCGAAGATTCAGAGGTTGGTGAAGAATGGGGTGAAGATTTGTATTAATAGTGATGATCCGACTTTGATGCATGATGTTTGGATCGATGGGAATCTGCAGAAGGTCTATACTTATTGTGGGTTCAGTCGGAAGGAGATGGTGCAGCTTGCGAGGAATGCGGTGGATATGTGTTGGGCTGAGGAGGACATCAAGAGGGCTATCTATCAGGAACTAGATGAGGTTGATATTTGTGAATAAAGGGCTGTCTAGGGGTTAGTAGAAGGTTCTTCTCTCGGCATTGATATTATGAACAGTCTACTGTTCCACGAAGATAAAGCATGTGTATATTGTTGTACGTTATACGAATGATAATTAATAACTGCCATGACCCCAAGGAATAGCCATGATTCGCCAGCTTACGGGAAGTTCTCGGGGTATTTTTCTATCCACTAGGAGGAAAGACCA